ACTCTAACTTATTTTTAAAATACTAATAATATTTTTACGAAAAAAGGAAGAAATTTTCATTTCATTTTTAAGCAGATACAATGTTTTTATCCACGGTAAACAAATAACGTTTTGGTTTGTTGACTCTGCAGTTATAAATGAATAGCATTTGCAACCAAGGAATTTAATCGTTCTCACATACATACTATATATAACACTGATATCTATTCAAATTGTCTTTATTCAAGTAGACTTTTTTACAAGCACTTTCTAATCGTCATTTTTTAAATCTACTGCAAAGTTCAGAAAATTGTTATCTATCTGTTGACAAGAGTCCGCAAGAAACTCAACAGTTACTCTTTTTAATCTCTGTTATAAATTATATTATATATATAAATTATATATTGTAAATACACATATATTTATTTTATGTTTTTATATTTATATAGTGATATATTAAGAGGGACGCTGCTTCCCATCCCTCGATCATTAAGTTCCCTTAATCGCCTCTACACACATGGTAAAAGCATAATAAGTACAACACGCATGGTAAAAGAAAGAGGCGCTCATTCTATGCAGGAACCACACGACGATAATGTGGAATACTATATTAACAGTAGGAAGATTTATTTTCATTTTTTTTTTTAATTTAGCTTTACTAAGGTAAATTAAAAAAAAATGAAAATAGCTGAGGGCCTACCATGAAATATTTATCGAAATTTTGGATTCAAACGAAACACAAATTTGCTGTTAAAATTACATAATACGTGCTGTTTAGAAATATTCAACATGTTAAAATATCGTTCCTCTGGACTTTTATGATAGGATGTATGACGAACGAAATTAATTAAACTCCATTTATTGGCCTGATTTTGTTATAAACAAAAAGACGAAATTGAGTTCGAAAATTCGGAACTCATTTCATGGTAGACCCGCTGTTCTCAGCGAACTTGCCAGATGCACTACATCGCCATGGCAAGTTGAGCATCGCTCGGAATGCGTTATTGCATTGCACATGAAGTGTGTTATAAACTTTCTTACTAATTGGTTGGCGTAAAAAGGCTGAAGTAATTCTTTGTTGTTTTTTTTTTGTTTTTCATTCCTTTATCTCTTTTACTGTGTATGTCTGTATTATGTGTATGTTTGTATTGTTATTTTTTTTGATGGATGAAAATGACATGGTAACCCCGCCCGCGCTAACGAGATACAAGATACGACACAAGATACAAGAACGAGATACAAGATATATTATTAAGGATTTGCAGTAAGATTAATTCGACTACTACGCTGAAAAAGCCTTGGGAACTAGCCAGTGACCAATAATCAATAACTTCAATACCGTTGTGTCTAGAATCAAAACTAGTTTAGTAGTTTTTACAATATTGCGTGCACAGAAGAAACTGGATGAAACCAGTAAAATCCGGTTCAGAGGCGGTAACAAAACTGATTTAACTTTCGCAGTAATAGTTTCTGCGGCAGACCCAGGTCGCCAGCACGGTTATTTCGAGGTACGATATATACTTCGACTTAATCCGTATCTACCGAACGCTCCATTTATAGTGCACCTTCATTTTAATTTCCCAAATTATCAAACGACTTCAAAACAGAACGTTTTCAATTCGGATGTATATGTTTTATGTCTTAGAACTCCATTTTTTTTTTTATAAAATTTAGAATGGCAAACAAGCTGACGACCCACCTGATAAAAAGTGGTAACCGTCGCCTACAGACGTGAATAGTACCATGGACATAACAGAGTATACTGTTTCGTCCATGATATTGCCATGCGTTGCCATTCCTGACGACTCAGGTGTTATTCCGTTGTATATTTATAAACCGATTTGGAAAACTCTTTATCTGAAAGAACTTACTGTCAGTTTGTTTTTAATGAACTTTTATCAAAAATAAATTAATTTTTAAGTCAAAATAACCGACTTTGTCAATTTATTTATTTAGTGGAACAAAATGTACTTATTATATGTAAAAACTCTTTCTTTTAACTTACAGAATATACATTTTAATCCTTTATAAAATAAATATAGTACCAACAAAACAAGAAATAGCGAAATTGCCATCGTCTGGTCGGAATGAATGTTGTTTGGTGCATTCTCAACGGGATACAGGGTGGTGGCAACAAAGATTGCTACAACTTTAGACTTTGCAACTTAATCTGTCTAAGTGACTTTGATCGATGACTGCCTTGTTTTGTGTACACCCTATATATAACATGTGTTACATAATCTTTTTTTATTAATATAATAAAATCGTACTTACACGATGTCCGTATGTGGCAGATATTAAAGAAACACTGAACAAATTAAATTTTTAAAAATGTTTGTATGTCTATATGTCTGTATATACTATGGTATTGTATAGACCCCCCACTAGATGGAGTGATGACCTGAAATGCGTTGCAGGGAGTCTGTGGTTGCAGGTGGCTCAGAACCGTTCTTTATGACAGTCTATGGGGTAGACTTATGTCCAGCAGTGGACGGATAATTGCCGAAATGATGATGATATATTTGTACACTCACGGGATAGGACGAGGGATAGGAGGGCGAGGGATGGGCAGCACTATCCCTTAAAAACGTCTCTAAAGCCTGACTGCGGTTGCCAATCCGTCTGCCAAGCGTGATAACTACTGGTACCTCACCCTCCCCCCCCCCCCCCCCTCGGGGGAGGCTTATGGTTTTTTTTAATAGGTGAAAATGGTATGGTAACCCCGCCTGCGCTGACGGGATACGCTGGCGGAGCACCAGTGAAGGGTGGTAGATGAGAATGAAAACAGGTCAGTTAGCCCATCCTGATGAATTCATCAGGAATTAACTAAGATAGTTTCCAGGAAGAACCGCGAGGAGGTCGACTTGATTGGGTATATTGCTAGCAATGAGATTCTCAGTCTCCATTACTAACAATCCCTTTCCCCCCTGGGGGAGGCTTATGTTTAGCAGTGGACAATTAAAAGCTCATATAATGATGATGATATGTTTGTTGAGGTATTACGCAAAAACTACTGTACCAAATTGGATTTAGTTTTCACAATTATATACTTAATATCTAATGTATGTTCCATCTAAATACATTTATAAATGGTCTGTTTCATTGGTCTTAGAACTTCTGAAATCAGCGCTAGTAGTACTTCAGTCATCACAGCATCAAGAGATGACAAACAAATAAACATACACATTTGCAATACAAGCCATTTTTTTCTTGACAGAGCAAAATTATTTTCTTTCACTGGTCGACTTTACAAGCAAAATTCCGGTAAATTATGTTCCCCTGAAACACGTCCGGTATACGGTTGTTCAATACTTTGATAATCCCCGGAACATGACGGGGGCTGACAACAAAATCCGGGTATACGGGCACACTGCCGCAGTTGAAGGGTTAACGCATTGGTTTCTTTAAAACGTATCTCTTTTTATGCCCTAATTAAGAACGGTCGGGTAATCTCTTAGCGGGTCTCTCGGCCGGGATTTCGAAGCTTTGAAATGGAGAGTAGAATAAATATATGCATGTTTGAAGATATATTTGGATTGCCTATTTCTGTAATACGGCGTGTGCTGTAAAAATTATAAATATTTAAATTTAGAACTTAGTTTTTTTTTTTAATAATAACCGTTTATTTATTTATACTTGAACAAAGTTTTTTTTTTTTTATTCAATTTAGAATGGCAAACAAGCTGAGGGTCCACCTGATGGAAAGTGGTAACCGTCGCCTATAGACATGAGCAGTAGCATGGACATAACAAAGTATACTGTTTCGCCCATGATACCCCCCATGCGTTGCCATTCCTGAGGACTCAGATGTTATTCCTCTGTGCCCTGTAAATTCACGCCATATCCCACCCTTCAAACCGAAACACAGCCATGCAAACACAACTGCTTCACGGTCGAAACACAAATGGGACAGAGGTACCCAAGCAATCGACTTTTGTACAAAGTCTCAAAAGTTGCAAAATACCCCAAGAGAGAGGCTTATGTTTAGCAGTGGCAGTTAAAAGCTGATATGATAATGATGATGAAAAACCAGAGGGAGACTTTGTACAAAAGTCGATTGCTTGGGTACTTCTGTCCCATTTGTGTTTCGACCGTGAAGCAGTTGTGTTTGCATGGCTGTGTTTCGGTTTGAAGGGTGGGATATGGCGTGAATTTACAGGGCACAGAGGAATAACATCTGAGTCCTCAGGAATGGCAACGCGTGGGGGTATCATGGGTGAAACAGTATACTCTGTTATGTATATAGGCGACGGTTACCACTTTCCATCAGGTGGACCGTCAGTTTGTTTATCATTCTAAGTTGTAAAAAAAAATAAACTGAAAAAAAACCTCCCAGAAACATTTACTAACACTAACTTATTAGACAATAATGAAAAACATTTTTTTTTTTTTAATAAATTTATTTATACTTATTATGGTACAAAATTTATATCAAACCAAGTGCTGGGTATTTATAGTAACAAATCAATCACTTGATTTTCATTAATTTACTCTTTGAACAATGTCAAAGTATACCTACTTAATTATAGAAAGAGATTCGATTATTGAATAAAAGGTAAATATGTTCTTATTACATAAAAGCAAATCAGAATTACAAACAGGTTATAAATAACCGAAATTGATTAGTTTGGAATAAGCTAACTTAAATAGTTTATAAAATTTGAAATTTTACTCCCAAAAAACAATCGTCACAAAATGTTTGCCATTCTTTTCCATTAAAAATTTTAAACAAAATAATTATTAAAATTAATTGAAAGAGTTCAGTTAATTTTAATGATTATATTTCCAATCTTAATTTATTATTCGTGTTATTTTCGTATTCATTTTGTAACGATTAAAATTAATTACATTTTTTTTTTGTTGAACATAATTTGTAATTAATTTAACACTTAATGTCAATAGTCAAAGCAGTATTTAAATATTAATCGACTACGGAATACATATTTATAAATAGAAATAAAAAATTTTAGCATTTATAAATGAGAAGCTAAAATGGTATTCCAGTCACCAATAGTGAACAAATAGATTAATAATATATGAAAAAACCAAAACAATTAAAATGAAATTATTTGCTATAATAAAATTTAAGCAACAAGATTCTGTTTATCAAGTTTGGTCGGATAGATGTCGCCTATGGTCTTTACATGTTCAAATGTGATGTTCGATTGTCTCTCGAATTCCTCGCGTTCTAATTGCATGGCGTATACGTAATAGACCAGGATGAAGTATGCAGCGAGTACTGTAAGTGAAAATAAAAATAAGTTACGTCTATTACATTCTATTATCACGCCAAAACCCTAAAGGAGTAGGCAGAGAGGACCATTGAGTAAACTACTGGTGGTACAGTAAAATACGAAAACGAATCTGTTGCCCCAATACTTTGAAATCGACTTCCAGCAGCGGTATGGTATCGTAACCTTTAAGAAAAGAGCATAGTCCTTTCTAAAAGACTGACAGCGCACCTGCAATTTCTCAGGAACTGAAGGTACTCATGGAAGGCGAAAGACACTTGCCTTTCTCCAGTGTCATAGATGCTCATGGACAGCGATAATCACTTACCATCAGGTGAGTCGCAAGTTCATTTGACCCCTGTGTTTTAAAAAAATTTGAAATCTGTTCAGCACAAAGATTGTAACTTTTCTCAGTTGCATCATGATAAAATCTGTTATTTATAAACGTAGCTGTCACATTTAGAATTATTTACTAAATCTATATATCAAATCCATTTTCATGAATGACCTCCATAATGATAAACACGATCCTAGGTTCGATTCCCGGTTAGACCAATTTAAGAAAGCAAGTTTTACTGAATTGACTCGAGTCTGGATGTTCTAGGTTGGACTTTCAGATGTTGTGTCTTCGTTGCCTTGTTCCTCATTGGCTTTTCGAGCCTGAACATCAGAAAATTGATGTGGTAGTGTGATAATGTAGGATTTATTATAATAATGATATCATCACTTTAGGTCCCTGACGATATAAGACATCTATTCTTACACACATCTCTTGGTTCATCAACTTTCATAACTTACCCCATACACGTCAGTTTCGGAGACTCTCGACTCCTTCTTCAGATGATATCTACTAAATTTGTTATTATACAACCGAACTGGGAAATAAAACTTACCAAATGTAAACATCTCGAATATAGCAGTCAGAACACGCGTCAAGTCAGTTCCCATGAGAGAAATGATTCCAACTAGAGACAGAATTAGCTTGAACGTAGCGAATGAGACGTAGAGACGGACAGGACCGGGGCGCCGCTGGGAAAAGTAAATTATACAAAATATTAATACTGGAAATATATTCACATTGCTTAGTAACATTGGAATCTTTCAAAAATACAACAAAAATATGTAAATAATCAGATGAAAATTTAAAAGCCAAACTTTTAAAGACAATACAAAAATTTCTCCCCCTTCAGATGCCATTAGTTTTGGAGATTTGTATCAACAAGTATCGAAATCTATTACACAATCCCATGAGCTGTTCCTGTAGAGAAGGATGTTATAGGAATTTACTTCGTGTTTTCCTTATCTTAAAATAATGTTATTATGCTTTGTTTCCTGATCAACATTTACAATATCGCACTCATATAAATTAAAAGACATATTTTTTATGTAACGACGAATATCAAATTAGCTGACGGCACACCTGATGGTAAGTTGTAACTGTAGCATAAAGTAGTTAGCTTTGCCATGGAAATCACAGAACACACTGTGATTCTCATGATTTCCCTCATGTGTTACCATTCTGTAGCTTAATGTCTCCATACTCTGTAATTTTACTGCCATATTCATAGATGTCCCTCGGTGGAAAACTAACTTCCTATGAAATTTATATTTCTGCAAAATTCTAGTTAAATCTGACAAATTACTATTTAACTATGAGTATGTTATTGATGTTTTCACCACAAAACCGCATTCAGTTAAACTGCAAATAGCAAAATTATTCTTTAACTACGAGCTAATTAATAATTTTGCTATAACTATAGCTTAGATAACGCTATCCAAATGCCATTACTGTAAAAATGTTGTTATACGTTGTATTTCTTTATTTTATTATTAAGTATTAGTTTATAAACCTTGCTAACAAAATTTATAACTTTTTAATTAATTTTTATGTTTACCGATTGTATAATTAGGCAAATGTTAAAACTATTTGTGGCTCAACGTAAATGTAACTTGATCATGCACATGTGGTGATTGATTCTGGTTGTTAGCGACCCAACGATGCAAGCTGCCTGCAATTCATTATATACCTTTTTAACAATTTTTTTTTTAGAATATTTTAATTTGTAATTTCGAATTTGTATATATTCTGACGTCTATTTTTTTCTTGCTTGTTCGATATTCAATACATTTTCTCTGCAAAATTCTTAATCTTTTATTACCTCAACCACAGTCCACTACTCTCTAATACTGGTTATATAATAATAATAACATATCGACGGTTGAAAGGCAAAATTGACTAAGCGACAAAAATACCTAAACTGAGTTTTATACGAGGTCTGTCCGGAAAGTTCGTATAAAAGTGTTCTGGAATGCGAGAAAGAGGAGTGGGGAGGCCAGGTAAGCGCAGGACCCCTTCCTTATGTCCCTAACAATGCTTCAGTTCTGGTCTGACCGCCGTGCGGTGCGAACTGGCTTGTCACGCCATCTGTGAAGTTACCTCTTAACGAAACCCCGTCGGCATGGAGCCCGCTTCCGTTGAAGAGCAGCGCGTCGTAATCAAGTTTCTCTCGAAACTCGGCAAGAATGGCCGTGAAATTTTTGCCGATCTCAGAACAGTTTATGGGGATGATGCTGTGAAGGAACCAACCGTCCACAAGTGGCTAAAAAGATTCAGAGAGGGCCGAGAAAGCGTTCAAGATGACCCACGTTCAGGACGTCCTTCCACTTCACATTCCGACGAAAACGTGGAAAGAATTCGAACTTGTGTTAATGGGGACCGTCGTTTAACGGTCAGACAGGTGGCTGAAGAGCTTAATTTGGGCAAAACCGTGGTCCACGAAATTCTAAGAAACGAACTTCAAATGAAAAAAATTTGCGCCAAGATCGTTCCGTGAGTTTTTGAGTAAAAATTCCATTACGGTGACCGAACACCCCCCTATTCGCCGGATTTGGCCCCGTGTGACTTCTTCTTGTTCCCAAAAACCAAATTGGTACTTCGGGGGCGGCATTTGGGGGACATAAATGAGATAAAAAAAGCTACGACGGGGCAGCTGAGAAACCTACAACCAGAGGACTTTCAAGGAGCCTTCTCACAGTGGAAACGGCGTTGGCACAAGTGCATTATGTCACAGGGGGAGTACTTTGAAGGGGATAAAATTGATTTACCTGAATAATTGTAAAATAAAAATTTTAAAAAACTTTTATACGTACTTTCCGGACAAACCTCGTATACCATTCGAATCGCCTGATTTTTCTGCGTCGATTGGTCTAGGTTTTAAAATTCTACGATAATTTTTTTGTCGGTTAAGTACTGCGTGATTTTAGCTAAATTTACAATTTTATGTTTACTTAGCGACAAAAAAAATGTCATTTAAAGAATATTTGCTACTTACGCCATTTTAAAAGTTGAAATATGGATTTATTCAATTTTTCATATCTTTGTTTTCACTTTTATTTGCAAGTAGGAATTTTTACTTGTTATGAAATTTCGTTTTTATCTGTTTTAGTATATTGTACCTATTTAAAAAAAATATAAATAATTTGGTTATGTAATTTTACCTGATGTAATATTTTGTGATATTGCAATTTATGTAATTTAACTAAAAATAAAATTAAAGTAAATTATACCTTAGATATTTTTACCTGTATAAAAATATGTTTGCTTTTAGCGGTATATATTTTTACTGCATATATTTGACTCGTTGAAATGAGTAAAAATGGCGCTTAGATAAATTTACCAGTACGCGAAATACAAATATTATATTTGGCAAATAGAAAATGTGTATGTGTTTATTACCATTGACATTGCAAGCACGATAATAGATAACACGGCATCAACTAAACAGGTGGCATTTCCTGGCACTACTATTGTATCGATTGATCATGATTATAATATCATAACGTTAAATAAATCTGATAACTCTGCATCAAATATATATAATTACGAAAATGAGAAAAACTCACGTTTTTTAACATCAGACCATGATGCACCATCTACATCCACCGGTTTGAGTAAAGAATCCAATGAATTAAATCCAATTAAATATAAAAGAATACCTAAGAAAGATGTTAGTTATATTGATTATATGTCAGATCAAGACTTTTCCATATTATATGGCATAAATGATTCAGATAATTGGTCAGAAGGAGAAGAAGTAACCTCTGAAGATTATATACAATGAAATATGATATACAGATATACAGATATACAGATATATGATATACAATGAAATAGAAGAAAAATAATAAGAAGTAAAACGTACTAAAAAAATAACACTAAAACTAACGATGGTAGTCCTGATAACCAAGAACTAGAAATTATCGGAGAATCTGCGTCCAAAGCTAAAAAATTAAACCTAAGAAAAGAACGAACTAAAAATATAAAATCTGGTAAAGAATATATTACAAAGACTGGTATAGTTAAAACAGCGCCTAATCCTTGCTCTGGCAAAAAATCTGGTAATAACTGTGGTTCTTTATCTGAAGTAAGAAGAGGAAATTTTTCAATGATTTTTGGGATCTTGACCAAACACGTCGCCGTGATTGGTTAGTATCTATGTCAAAAAAGGATTCATCAAACGTAAATGTACAGACACTGATAAGCGCAACTACACTATTAAATATTTTATTAACAAAGGCGAAGGTAAAAAGTATGTTTGTCAACAATTTTTAGTAGCTACTCTGAACATTTCTGATAAAACAATTTACAATATTGTAAAAGATTCTACTTTTGGATGCACGAAAGAAAATATGAGAGGGATATCTGAACCCAGAAATATGTGAAACCCCTTTGGCCACAACAGAATATCAGTGTTTTGCTCTTTTGAGGGCAAAGCAATAAACTGAGTTGTGACCATTTTGTATTGTTACGGCACACGCACAAAAGGAAAAATTATACTTGGCTTTATGTATTTTTTTAATAATTTCTCTTTTCTCGCTTTTTATAATTTATGTGCTTGTAAGTAACACAAATAAATTATATGTCTATCAAATAGAACTAAAAAAAAACTACTATAGTTAAGAGATTTATCCAAAAATTACCAGCCCTTGTATTATAGTAGAAAACTGGCAGTATACAATATTTGCTTTTATGAAAATGGAACTCGTAATGTTTTCTGTTACTATTGGGATGAAACTAATGGCAAACGAGGATCAAATAAGATTGTATCAATACTGAACAAATATATTAAATCTGTAGATACTAGAGGAAATATCAAGCAATTACTTTTATATTGTGACTGTTGTCCAGGTCAAAATAGTAATCGTACTGTATTAGCAATGTTGCATTCATCACTACAGGAGTATGAAAATATTAATACTATTAAAATAAATTTTCTCTTGACTGGTCATACTTATATACCCGTAGATGCAGTACATGCAGTGATTGAAAATAGATTAAAGAATACAATTGTTTACGCACCATCTCAATGATTTACAATTTTTGCATATTAATAATCTAACTGGAAAGATAAGTAAGATTTGTATTATGACTTTCAAAGAAGGATAAGCAAAACAAAAATATTCGTGAACATTAACGCTTCTTTTGATACTGAAATTCAATTTAAAACCAAGATATCTCTTTTATCTTGTTATCGATCGCAGCTTCCAATATCAAAAGCCAAATATGATGATCTAGTCAAACTTTTCACAGACGATGTTATTCCTAATTGCTTTGTTAGCTTTCCACGTGCAATAAATATCAAAGACACTCTAAACTAATCAGATATTAAAGATTGTGATTTTAATAATAATTAATTAAAATAGTTTATTAAATTAATTATAATAAAAAACCAGATAACCTATTATAACTCTAACAATCATTTATTATTTTTAATAGACGAAAATTAAAGACAGGTTTTAGATAAATTATGTGAAAGCAAAATTAGTCTTCTTATATTATGAATATTTTTGTTAATTTTATAGTATTATTTATTATCATTATTACATTATAAATAATTAATAATAATTAGTTTAAACTCAGTTTGGGATAATTTTAGGAAAATTTATTAACTAAAGATACATATTCTGCTAACAGAACAATCATACAAGAACTTACCTAGACAATTTTACTTGATTTTGTTCAATCTAATATACGTCTTTATATAATTCTACTTGTAAGGAGATTTAGATGAATCAGGATAACGATATTTTTACTCGTTTCTGTTAACTTTTTAGGTAAATTTATATAATTTTACCTGTAACCAAATCTAGGTATTTTTTATCTAACCGACATAAAATACTTCAAATTTTAGTCTGGGATAACTTTCTTTGATATCAAAAAATAACAAAAAATATATGTTTTCCGTAACTGTTAAAATTATTTCGATATGTCAATCAGGTAAATAGTTATGATTTTTTTTTCAAAAATTTCAACTTTAAACCGCTCTCCTGTAAAGTTTATTAAATGTCGCTTAGTTAAGGTTGCCTTTCAACCGTCGATATGTTTTCCAAAAGCAAAAACAAATAAATAAACAAAATGATATCTCAACCTCCAAATTGAAACACAGCTGCTTTGCGGCTTAAATGGTGTAAGGGTAATAAAGCAAATATTGTATTAAGTCTCTCTTCGAGGAATAGAAAGATAGAACATAAAGTTCAAGGAATTCATTTCTTATGGGAATTGGAGAATTAATTAAATTTATATACAGTACTCACATACATGAACCTTCTTAGTCCTCAAAGGATCATTACAAATAAATTAACAATGTGATAATTATAAATTTACCAACCTTATGTAGTCCAACCAAGCAGGCAATATTGACAAACAACCAGATAAAGTTTGCCAAAAGCGCGATCGCAAAGAATAACTCGATTCTCTTCAGGATAGGCTTCTCCATGATGTCCAGCTCGGCCACTCGTCGCTCATCCATATCATTTGGTCTGTCGAAGTGATCGAAGCCGTGAGTCGTGTAGCCGAAGTATGCGGTGAAACCGATGAGCGTGATGGTGTGTACCGTTTTGATGACCTGAAAATAATTGGTGACCTTTTTAATAAGCACAATCCTTGCTAATATTATAAATGCGAAGGTGAATTTATTAGTTATTAATACTTCTTATTAATAATTGTTTGTTAAAAGGTCTTGGCATCCTACCAGCTATCAAACAATCATTATAAAATTTGGTATACAAGTATTATATAGGATGGAGAAGAACATAGACTTTTTAACGCAATCAATGAATATTTCGGCCAAGCAGATAAAAGGTAGTACGGTGATAAGTGAAATCGCTTATTCAGTTCAACCTATCCATCGTCCATAACAACGTTAAGCTAAACATAGAACTTTCAAATTTCACCAGAAAATACAGTCCTGAACTCCTTGCAGCAATTGACTTCATGAAACCTTTTTTTTATCACACCATTTTCTGGTTAGTTTCATTTCCCCTCTAAAGATTTATACTCTTTTCGAGAATATAATAATAATAGTGCTATACAAGTATATAACAATTTTCTTTTACGAGATCAGCACCCAAGAAGTGTTCCTTCTCGCTATCCGAAGAGCTTAATTCAGTAAGTAGTCACAAGAATTGGGAACAGCTTCAAATGAAATTTTACATACTATACTAGAGGAATACTTTGTACAAAAATCGGAATGGGAACGCCTCCATGCGTTATCATGAGTAAAACAATATACTCTGTTATGTCCACGATAATGCTCATGTCTATATGCGACGGCTACCACTTTGCATCAGGTGGGCGTCAGCTCGTTTGCCATTCTAAGTTGCATAAAAAAACTTTATACTACCCATATTCTAGACCAATACTCAGAATGATTTAATCCTAATCCTTATCCATACTGGTAAAGTTAAAAGTTACATCTAGTAAAGTTTCACTGCGCGATTTCGTATTCATCGCAGTTTAATTGCCGTATATAAGCTTTACTAAACCAAGTGGGGGATACTTTTGAAAATTCCGTAAACTGTATTCAATGGTGGCATTGTTCGGGAAAGTTCGCGACGCGAGTTTTTCACCGAGTTACAAGAGAAACCACTTTCAGGAGTAATCGTCACGCGTAATGGCGTCGCGGCGGTACGTTAACTTTTTGGAATAACAATTTTTACAAACGGAAACCTCTTAAGTGGGAATCATTAAGAAAATCCTATTAATGATATGGATTTAGATATTCAATATTACAAGCTCTTATTTAACTTGTAATGCATGTTTTTTTTTAATGGAATAGAAATAGAATGAGACATCAGCGAGGTGTAAAACGAAGTTGGTTGGTCTATCATACCCAAAATCAACCGTTATGGTATTCATTATGGGACCACCTGGAGTTCGACATAACAGACCATAGAACCAGTTCTTCTTAAGCATGCACATCTTAAATTTTAAAGAATACCTTAATCGATCTACATAGACTAGCGGTTGAATACATTTCACATCCTGATATTACAAATTTAGTCCCTAAAAGAATAATACAAACATTTTGGATTCATAAGAACATACTCGTATGCTTGGATTTGTGTAAGTATTTTCTACACATGATTGTATACTCATATATAATAACACCTGAGTCCTCAGGAATGGCAACGCATGGGGGGTATCATGGGCGAAAGAGTATACACTGTTATGTCCTTGGTACTGCTGATGTCTATAGGCGACGGTTACCACTTTCCATCAGTTGGGCCGTCAGCTTGTTTGCCATTCTAAGTTGTATAAAAACTATATTACTTTGAAACTACTCAATGATATTTTGAGCCGGTATCCACAGTTGGATGTATTTGCCTTCAACTTGCTGGAGTTTCGTCGGATGACTACAAAGTGTTTATGTTCAGAGATTTAGGCTCTAATGTTATTTCTAGTTAAGTTAATCTTTTTATATTGTTTCTTTTATTTATGAGTATTATTCCTTTTTATATATGTTATTGTATTGATGCTTTCCTAGGTGAGCGTTTTGGAAGACTGTAAAGCTCATCCAATTGATACAATAAAAAAAAAATATAAAAAAAAAATTCTATGAATAATCTGGTAGTTTTGTTTGGTTTAAAATTAGATGGCGCTATATGGAATATTCGGTGCTAAAAAATATCTCTTATCTAATAAATATATATACATACCAAACTAAAATATCCCAAAATGAAGCATCCGATTCTTAATGGTATGCAGAAACAGCATTTTGTGAAGAAAGGCAGCGGCTTCGAAGGCGTTGACATACTGGAAGAGAAAAAGAGTTATATTAAAAACTATTCAGCATTAAAGAATTATAGCTACATAGTATACAGGTAGTAAACCGTCAAACATTATATTACTATTCTTAATAAGACCTCAAACTTGGAATCTTATCAAGAACCTGATCTTTATCTAAAACTTTGTGAGTCAATTTTAATTAATGTAAAAGAACTTTAATACACTATGTTTATAGTATTTGTGATGTGATTGTGATGATTTACCAGAGAGAGATTTTGTACAAAAGTCGATTGCTTGGGTACCTCTGTCCCATTCGTGTTTCTACCGTGGAACAGTTGTGTTTACATGGCTGTGTTTCTGTTTAAAGGGTGGGATATGGCGTGAATTTACTGGGTACAGAGGAATAACACTTGAGTCCTCAGGAATGGCAACGCATGGGGGTATCACGGGCGAAACAGTATACTCTGTTATGTCCATGGTACTGCTCATGTCTATAGGCGACGGTTACCACTTTCCATCAGGTGGCCCGTCAGCTTGTTTGCCATTCTAAGTTGTATAAAAAAAAATCTTTAAAACCTTAATCCTTGTTATTAATTAATTTAGTAATTATTCAGTTTCGAATTCAACATTGGATCATTTAAAAATGTTCATACATTGGAGACCTCTCAAAGGTCTTCGCGTGTAACTAAGATGATCTAGGGTGAAGGAAAGGGATTATTAGCAATGGAGTCTAATTAACCCATAACTAATGTACCCTAACAGTTCGGCTTCCACGATGTCCACCCTGGAAAGTTTCGTGATTAATTACTGTGTAATTCCTCACGATGGGCTAACTGGCCTGCTTACATCCTCACTTATCATCTCTCACTGTTGCCCCGTCAGCGTATAGTGATGACGTTGACGAGATCGGAATGCTGATCCACTACACCATTTTCATCGTTAACTGTCCATTGTTGAACATAGACCTTATTTTATTTTACACTTTATTGCACAATTTATAAAATAGTAAATACATTTAACTGTAATGAGAAATGATACAAAAGGCGGCCTTATCGCTAAGCAATCTCTTCCAGACAACCTTTGGGTAGAGGACGCCGAGAAGAGAAATATAAACAATAAAAATATAAAACAATAGACATATAGAGAGTTTTGCCAGTAGTTGCCACGCTTGGCAGGCGGGTTGGCAACCGCATTAGGCTAAGCTGACGTTTTAAGAGGGCCGCTACTGCCCATCCCTCGACTATGATCCCCTAAGTCGCCTCTTAAGACACCCACGGGAAACGAAGTGGTAACACATTCTATACCGGGACCATACGGCAAATTGTCTTAAATTATACCCTTACAAAAAACTCTTGAAATTAAATATTTTACTTTATAGCAAAAGCACGTTACCATAAAATGAAGTCCCGTATATGAGCGACTAATAAAAAACGACTTCAAAATAAAAATACAAATAATAAAAACACAAAACCGGTCGGAGAAGTCCGCCATATGCTTACAAAGCAATACGCGGGCAGACAAATCATAAGGACTATTCATATTACAACGGGCAAAGAACTAGTAAATTTTTTTTTTATATAACTTAGAATGGCAAACAAGCCGACGGCCCACCTGATGGAAAGTGGTAACCGTCGCCTATAGACATGAGCAATACCATGGACATAACAGAATATACTGTTTCGCCCATGATACCCCCCATGCGTTGCCATTCCTGAGGACTCAGGTGTTATTCCTCTGTACCCATTATGTGCTTACTAAGTAACCTTACTAAGTCATTTACATCCCACTGGTTAATATAAATCTTTTCCTACCAAATACAGATATTATTTTACTACCTGCAAGGCATGGTTTCTTTTTTTTTTAAATACAGCGCATGTCACTCAATGACAATGTAGCTTTCTATGAGAAAAAAAAATAAAATCAAATATTTTTACTTTATAATAATAGTTCAGGATGATCAGGTAACTTGATACGCCGTTTTAACAGGACAGTTTGGTATAAATTTCGTATCGGATTTTTCTCCAATTACATTGATGTATTTTTTATTCAGAGAATGAAAATAGAATGGTAACTCCGCCCGCGCTATCAGTACACACTGGCGGAGCACTAGTTAGGAGTGATAAATGAGGATAAAGCAGGTCAGTTGGCCTGTCATGATGAATCCATCTAAAATTAACTACAATGGTTTCCAGAGGAAACCACGTGGAGGTCGACCTGTTAGAGTATATTGTTAGTAATGAACCTATTACATCTCATTACTAACAATCCCTTTTTCCCACATTGGCGTCATATTTTTTTTATGAAAAATACAATATAAAATAATGCGTTCACACCCGAATTCATAATGTAACTCCTAATTATAGTCGATATTATGTTATCTCACTTTTTATGTATGTATATATATGTTGTAATTTGTGTGCTGTAATTAATGCAAATAAATTATCTATCTATCTATCTATTTATCGCAAGTACCTACTATCTTTAATCTATGAGCTATTTACAATTTGCTCTAATTTTTCGTTACCCATTCCTGTATTTCTAATTCACTATAGAGATATTTTTTTAAGAGATAAATAATAAATCCAAAGTAAGAAATAAAAAATAAACGACTTTTACTATTTCAGTTTTGCTCAATTGTTAATTTTCAACATTTGCTCCGGTAGTGTCTTTAAAATGACTCAAATGTAACTGTAATAATTAAAGAATTATTATTTGAAATTAGTAAAAATACAAAAAAAAAACTCTATCAATTGTAACAAAAGTCATACGAGACGAACACCCGGCTTACGGGGGGAAAGGGAATGTTAGCAATAGATTTTGACAGCTTCATTGCTAGCAATATGCCCTATTAGGTCGACCTCCACGTGGTTGCCCCTGAAAACCATTGTGAACAATTCTTGCTGAATTCATCACAATGGGCTAACTAACCTGCTTCATCTTCACCTATCATCCTTCACTAGTGCCCCGCCGGTGTATACCAATAGCGCGAGTGGGGTTACCATTTCATTAACACCTATAAAAAAAATACCCGGCTAACGATCCATTCACTCTCAGCAAAGATATCGTGTAACATGCATACAAAAATAATAATATTTGACGACTTGGGAACACGCACTGCGTTCACGTGTTTTCCACCCGTTGTAATATGGATAGACCTTAAATCAAATGAGGAAAAAAGCGCATATTACTTGTTGTATTTCCCAGTAACAAATCGCGTCTCGTTTAATGATACGTAAATAACTGATGAAATTATAAAAACCTATATATACTTTGAGGAAAACCTTTGAATATTTAAATGATAGCGTATCTGATTTAAAAAAAAAACACACACACACACACACAATCTGTATCAATATTGTGAATATCATATAATACCCGTTTTTTATATAACGCGTTTTCTCTAGTTAAAAATGGTTTTTACTCAAAAATTATGTTAAAACTAGGATTACGCCCTAGCGATAAGACCGCTTTTTGCACCTTTATGTGTATATTTCAATCTGTATTTATGTTACTGTATTTCATTTGAATTATTCATTTGTCATTGTATATTTTTATTTATGATGCAATAAATGTTTATATTAAATAAATTATGTTAAATAAATAAATAAAATTACCTAATTAACATTAGAATTTACAGCTAACTTTGAAAATTAGCTAAAACTAGTATTAAAGAAACTTTTTTAGGGGAATTACCAAAAATAAAACAAATTGCCTTTTAAAATATTCCTCGGTCGAAATAGTTTTAAGTAATTAAATTCGTTCCGTCTAGTTTTTAGTTGATATTTATTTTTTGAGCATCACAATTTTTTTTTTTATACAACTTAATGCTCCTTTCTACTCAGGGTTTGCTGGAAGAGAACTCTTACTTTACTTGAATTTAACAAGTGGTTTCTGTTCTAGAAAAATAAATAGCGACCAACATTTGTAACAAAATAGAAACGGGACCAACACGGAAGGAAAACCCGACAAAAACAATTTTGTGCCAATAAACTACTTATTTGATAATTCCTTCTATATTAACCCAATAATTTTCGTATTGTTTTCCACGTTTTCCAAAAGTGTACCTACAGCGAGTGGCCCCAAAATGAATCATTTATTTCATATGTTTTTGACAATTTCCATTCGCCATATTTTTTGACAATAGGGCCAATTCTGAGAAGCCATTTCTCCAAATCTATCTTTTAACCTTAGATTATATAGATGACTTCATACAAATGCTTCGAAAAAGCGGGTCAACTTTTTCACACATGTGCCACGTACATACATACATACATACATATCTGTCACGCCTGTCTCCCATTAGGGTAGGCAAAAACAATGGAACGCCAAATGCTTCGATTCAAACAAACCTCTTTCGCTTCTTCCACGCGCTTGTGCCACGTACATAGGGTAACCAAATTGAAAATTATTACTTTAATTATAAATATTAAGGTAAATAATACTTTTTTATATATAAAATATGTATCTAATAGAAGGCATTAGTGTCTAAGATACAGGCTAGGCCTAGTTTAGACACTAATGTGCTGGGCATAATGCTACACTTTATACACATGTAATTCACTTTGAAATTTCTGTAAGCCCATATCTGTATAATTTTATGTGCAATAAATCTTTATTATTTATTATTTTTATTATATTATTTTAGCCGTTAGCTGTCCACTGCTGAAGCCCTTGGGGGATTTTGCCAGTAGTTGGCATGCTTGGAAGGTGGGTTGGCAACCGCAGTTAGGCTTTAGAGATGTTTTAAGAGGGACGCTGCTGCCCATCCTTCGCCCTCCCTTAATCGCCTCTTACGACACTATGAGGAATAAAGTGGTGGCCCATTCTGTATATAGAAAAACATTACATAGTGATTAGAGAGAAATGTGCACTGAAAGACGATGTAGTGACAAAAATCGAAAAGGGAATGCGTTGGTTTGGCATTTGGAGAGAATAGATGAAAGTAGAATTACGAAATAGGTTTATCGAGTAAGAATGAATGGAGATGTCGGTAGGGGCCGCCCTAGTCGAATATATGTCGACCAAAT